GGGGGGGGGGGGGGGGGGGGACTGCAGCCCTCCCAATAATTTGGTATCATTCTTTTTTCAAAATCATGCAGACCTTTATCATTTAAATAATATACCTTTAAAATACTGACAATTGATTAATTTTAAATTAAGCGGCTACATTATCCATGATAAACTGAAAAAAATCATATTACCCATACTTTCCTGCAACTTCTCCAATATACAGTATAGTTAATTAAATACGTCTTCGGCCGTTTGGTACTACTAAATTGTAAGCAAACTTTAAATTTCGACATACTAAAACGCTGTTTTCTGACCATCAGAATTCTGTCAAAACTTCCCCAAAGTCCTTGAAATGGCATTTCAGACTCTAAATTTAAAAATTTCCTCGGGCCTCCAGCCCTCGTTTTCTGCCGCCCCCCAATAAAAGAGAGCTTCCTACGGCACCGCTTCTGTAATATGTCTGTGCGTCTATGTCTTGCGCGTATGTCTTCGCCTACACCCCCCCCCCCAAATTATACATGCTAGCTACGGCCCTTGTTCTACACCTGCTAACTTAAGTGACACATGCACACAAAACAATCGATTTACAGCACTTTTTCCCCCTTCAGTGTCAGATAACTCTAAAGATAATCTCATTCCAACCACCCCCTGTACAGTTTGTTAACAACTCTCCTTTCCGTGAAGAGGAGCTACTATACAATTACTTTATAGTTTCCGTGTTTGGATGGCCTGATCTAAACACAGGTTTTGACCAATCAGAGCACACGTTATATACATGTTATTTTATAATACTCTATTTATGATGACCCTTGTGTTTCCAGTGGCACCTGGTAAATATGATGCAATAATTGACATAATTTACCAATTCGAATTTTTGGTGTGAAATACAGTAGTCACAGTATTCAAAACTATTTTCATCAAGTTTACACAAAGTGAAGGGTTTTGGAAAAACAGAAGGTACATGCAGATGGGTCTTTTACCAGAATAATGTGAGATGTTTCCTAGAACAATCCAATCACCTACTCACTCCAGTCTTACAAGGGGAACAACTTGATGAGACAACAATGAATTCATTGCTACATCAACTGAAGTCTCACTGCATGCAACAGGGCCTCTAGATATTAATAAACAAAGCAGAATGCTGCCCAAAACAAAGAATATGACATATTAAACTATGTTAACCAAATGTTTGAAAAGGCCATTATGCTCAAATTAAATAGTAAGTGGTCCAAGCAGTTTAACAGTGATAAAAACACCCTCCATTTCACCTCAACAGAGGTCTCAACTATGGGCATCTCCTGCAAGCCGTTTCCAATCATCAAATAGATTGGTCACACTTTGTCATTTCTCAGAGTGGCAAACTTTTCCTCCAACCTAATAGCCCGTACGTTGTCGCTTTTAAACTTCTTCACCGAACCATTGCACTGATTAAAAGCCTTGACAAATACAGACACAAAGCAATCCAAGGTGGCAAAATCTTTTTTCCCGCGCGTGTTTCGCAAATATTGTTGTGGCCATTTTAGCTTCGGATTTTATCGTGCTGGAAGAAATTCTCTCGAGAACTGCGATCACTTCATTGATACTGAAAGCATCAGTCGACTGTCGAATAACAGGGGATATTTTATCATCCTTTTCGGCATCGTCTAAACTAAGAATTAAATAAAAAATTTTCTCTTCCATTTCAGATCCAGTTTCCGCCATTTTTACTCGCATGTGTTCGAATATTTGGGGGGTCCCTTGCATCACAAACGTATCAGGGCTCCTATGCTCGTTTCGCCGCCCTATCTTCCAGGCGATCTTGATACGCGGAAAAGTACTGGCACTAGTTGTCAAATAGAAATCCATTTTATGATTAAAACAACTTAATATCTCCTGTAATATACTTTATTTCGATTCCATATTTTTGTCAGAGCTATAGTTCTCATAACCAA